TTGGTAGATATGCATGTCTAGAGTGATAGATATGCATTTATTTTTGTGTATATTCATGAATGGACATTGGGTTGAACCTCGAACATTCTAACAAACAAACAAAAAATAATAATAATAATAACAAATCCAACTATCTTCAAAAAATAAAGAGATCAACATTTAAACAAACTTTTCCTTAAGTGAGATAGAGAATAAGACAAATCGTGAGATAAGACGAAGCGATAAGATAAGATAAGACATGATACTCCTGTTGTATAAACAAAAGAGTTTAGTCTCGACGCACGCAAAGTCACAGTGATCCAGTATTAGTTAAGGTCCTTGTAAACGCCAACTGGGGCTGAGAGTATAAGGGGGGAGGGGGGGAGGGAGGGAGGAGGAGATGGGGGAGGTGGGATGGAGGGGGAGGGTGGTGGAAAGAGGGGGTAGGATGTGGAAGGAGGGAGGAGGAGGGGGGGGGGAGGTGTGGAAGGAGGGGGTAGGGAGAAGGTAGGAGGAGGGAGGAAGATGATGGAATGAGAGGGGGTGGGGGTGGAGAGTGAAGGGAGAGAAGTGGAAGAAGGGGAAGAGGAGGAGGTGAAGGGGAAGGGGTAGAGAGAGGTAGGAAGAGGAGAAAGTAGAAGAGAAGGAGGAGGATGTAGGTCGGGGAAAGGTATATGATAGGAGAAGGGAGAGAGAAGGAAAAGGGGATTAGGAGAAGGGACGTGGAAGGAAAACGGGAAAAGTATAAGGAAGGGATCATGTGGAACAGACAGCTGAACTTGCACGTGGAAAGAATAGGGAACTGAGAAACAGGTATGCGAAAGAAGGCGAAGAAATGCACATACAATCAAGAATTTACAATGAAGAAGGTAGTAGAAGAATATGAATAAAAGATTAATAGAAAACAAACATAAAAAGAAATGGATCTTAAAAATGGATTAAAGTTGCAGGAAAATACCGTACGGTTCAGGAATGTATATATGAAAAGAGAGAAAGAGAGAGCAATGACAGTATGACTGATTGTTATTGAATATAATAATAATTATATATATATATATATATTATAGTATATATATGTATCAGAAATGGAGAACCTAAAGTGGAGTGAGGAAGTGGATAAACAATGAGCAGAAATGTGGAAGCCTAATAGAGTGGATTGAGAAAGTGGAATAGCATGGAAGCATAAAAAGTGGAAAAAGTGGATATGTTGAAGCATAAAAGTGGATTGAGCCAGGAAGCAAGAGTGGATGAAGGTTGGAAACATGATTTGTGTGGAATCAGAAAGTAGATACAAATTAACAGAAAAATGGAATCTTAATAGAGAGATTAAGAAAACATAAAGATAAACAGAAATACAAAAAACATAGAAGCCTAAGAAAGCGGATTTCGAAATAGCCAAAAATAACCAGACACACACAACCATAAACGAGTGAGTGGACTGACAAAGTGGATCTCGGGATACCACAATACCCACAACGTTGCCCCTCCCCCCCACCCCACCCCCACCCTCCTCCCCCCTCCCTCAAGAGTGCGTGGGCATGGGAAGAGGGAGGGGGGGGGGCATCTGACGTCAACCTTGCTCAGATTACGCCATTTTAATGGTTGTAGATGTCAATTAAGTGAGGATAAGTGGTCTCTTGGGATAGGTGGGGGAAGTGTCATCGCTAGTGAGGATAGGGGGGAGGGGATGGGGGGGGAGGGGATTTGGGGGGGAGGATGGTGGGGAGAAGGATAGGTGATGGAGGGATGGATGGGGAGGGATAGGTTGAGGGGATGGGTGGGGGAGTGGATAGGTGGGGGAGTGGATTGGTGAGGGGGGATAGGTGAGAGAGGATAGGGGGGGAGAGAAGACAAGTAGGAGAGAATAGGTGGGAGAGAATATATGAAGAGAGGATAGGTGGAGAAAGAAGGGAGAAGGATGAGAGAGGAAATAGATGGGAGAGAATAGAAAGAAGAGGATAGGTTGGAAACGATAGGGGATAGAGGATTAACAGGAAAGGATAGATAGGAGAGGATTGGTACGAGAATAGACGGGAAAGTACAAGAGAGAGAGAACAAGCAGGAGAGGATAGGATAAGAGGAGAGAATAGACGGGAAGGAACAAGAGAGAGAGGATAAGGAGGAGAGGATAGATAGGATAAGAGGGAGAGAATAGATGAGAAAGTACAAGAGGGAGAGAACAAGGAGGAGAAGAGAGATAGGACAAGAGGGAGAGAGAGGGAGAGGACAAGGATACGGAGGAGAGAATAGACAGGATAAAAGGGAGAGAATAGGTGCAAGAGGATAGGTGAGAGAGAATAGACGCGAGGAGACTAAGGTGCGTCTTGAACCTTGACTTCAAAGGCAATTAGGTTCGTGTAAGACAGATAAGAACGGAAGGAAATAGATAAAAAAATGTATAAGATCACCAGTCGTATCTTTAGGGTTATCGCTTACGCCTCACATTAGCTTAAATTACATTTCTGTGCGATATACTTTACCCAATATATCCTTTCATTCTTTTCTGGACGAAATATTGCCATTCCGCTATGAAAAATACATTTCTATGGGATACAGTTTGCTCAGTATATCTTTTCTTTCTTTCATGGACGTAATAGCATTCCAATTATGATAACTTTCTCCACTGTGAAAAGATTACATTTTTTATGGGATACAATTTACTCAATATATCTTTTCATTCTTTTCTGGACGAAATATTATCGTTCCAATTACGATAACTTTCTCCGCTAAGAAAAAATATATTTTAC